AGGCTTTAATCCCACGACCATAGCGTTTTAGATTGTTTACTTATCTACCTTTGAGAGTTAATTCGGTTTTGTGCTCATCAATGCATAATAGGGCATTGACATTTTCCAGTGTGCCAGATTATTTGTCCTTTTTGTGTCGGTTCGAATATTGCAATTTTATACATTTGTGTCTATAAGCGCGTGTGAATCGGTAAAAGAGTTCGCGACGAGTAAATTTTTGACAAGTATGAGGTGAATAAAATTTCACTAGCTAACGAGGCTAGTGAAATTTGCGACAAATTCATAGAAAATTTTGACAATTGCAAATATTGTTGACGTGTATAAATTTTCTGCAACAAATTTAAGCAAAAACAATAAAACAACAATGGAGTTTTTGGTGGCACAATTAACAAGTATTACACTATATTACATATTTCTTGAAAATACATTTATTTAATGTTTCGAAAGCTTTAATTGATTAAAAGCTTAAATTGATGAATTGCAATCACTGTTTTCTTAAAATATTCAGTTCTCTTCAATTTATGATATTTGATTTCACACAAATCTGCGGTTGTCAAAAAATATTTCATTTCACACAGCAGATTGGCAAAACTGTCTCACCATAGTAAAAATATTATTCACCAGCTTTCACCACAGAACTTTGTTATCGATTCACACACGCGCTATGTACATACGTATATATGTACATACATACATATGTATGCATCTTGTCACCATGAATGCAAAGGGCGCTATATGAAACTTGGAAATTGTACAGGATAAGCCAAAATAATAGCGGTCTTCTAGTCCAGTTATGCATACTTGGACTGCTATACCATTTTAACGTAAAAATCAAAACCCAACAGAATTCTACATGTTAAGGGCCGGTTGTTCAATGTCTGATTAGCACAAATCGGAGGTAGAAGCTCCGGTTAAGCACAACTACTGCTTTATCGATCACATGTTACATGCATGATGTCGAAATCGTCGATAGTGTAGTGGTAGAGATAACCAATGTCTGATTAGCACAAATCGGAGGTAGAAGGTCTGGTTAAATAAAACTACTGCTTTATCGATCACATGTTACATGCATGATGTCGAAATCGTCGATAGTGTAGTGGTAGNCAAATCGGAGGTAGAAGCTCCGGTTAAGCACAACTACTGCTTTATCGATCACATGTTACATGCATGATGTCGAAATCGTCGATAATGATGTTTAACCGGCAAGTAGTGATAACCAGATATTGAACAACCGGCCCTTAGTATGCTTAACTGGGCTATTCATCTAAAGTGATAAAGGGATAAATTGCTAACCAGACATTAAGGGCCGGTTGTTCAATGTCTGGTTATCACTACCACTACACTATCGACGATTTCGACATCATGCATGTAACATGTGATCGATAAAGCAGTAGTTGTGCTTAACCGGAGCTTCTACCTCCGATTTGTGCTAATCAGACATTGAACCACCGGAGATGAGTAACCGGCCCTAAATGTATCAGTTTATCCGCATTCTTTCATGAACGCACCTTGGTAAATAATTGCACAAAATGGTTTATTATTTAACTTATATGGCTAATTACGTAGTACGTAATGTTCGTAGCAAAATCGACCACCTGGCAGTCTGTCAGGGTTGAGTTTTGCTGAAATTAATAGGTTCTTTCCCGTACGCTGCCCGAAACAGCCCGGACTTTTTCACCGGGTAAAAATGGATAGTGTCAAAGTGCATTACAGCTGTTTTGTGTTTACATGTTGCTTACATTTACTTGGTGCCTTTAAGGAATAGTGAATGTATTTTCAATCTTTATATACTTAAAACCAAATGAACTGTTTCTCAAATTCTGGGCACGAAATGTGGTTTTGTGCGTTCCCGTACTTCTGGATTATGTTCCATTTTTGAGAGCAAACTTTTCGCTTATTCTCTAATTACCGGATCCGGCCCGGATTGTTAGGGAAAGAACCTAATACGTTTATCCACCAAAATCGTTTGATAAACGGTTTGTTCCACACGAGCCCGCGGGTACCCAAAACAGCCCGGAAAGTGTTCCTCACGCTAGAAAAATGGGTAATAGAGAGCAAATACCTTCCACTTTTGGATCGTAAATGTCTTCTTCTTCGTGCCCGAAACAGCCCGGACTTTTTATCCGGGCAGAAATGTACCGGCTGTTGTTGAAATAACAGCTGTTGTTTGTGTACATCCAATAGCAAATTTTGTAAAATAGAAAAATGGAAAATAGCACTAAAGTTTCAGAAATGTCGGTATTTGCTAATTTTTTTAGCTATATACGATAAATACACATAAAATCATTGTTTAGAACTGATTGTTGATTCCGGGCACGAAAAGTGGTTTTTTGCGTTCCTCACGCTCTGGGCACTTTTGGCACGGGTTGACATATTTTTGACACTTGTGAGAGAGTAACTTATTTTTACGCTCTTAAGGCCTGTATGCAGTTCTCAAGAAAAGCTGAAATTCCATACAAAATGACGTACAAGAAATGGCTAAGAAATTTTCTTAAGTCAAATTTCTTTCAGGCAGTAAGCAGTTCTTAAGAAATTTGCTACGCTTTTTACTACGGTTTTCTAAAGTTTCTTGTGAAAAAAGAGCACAAGGCAACCCAGGTTTTCAACAGAAATATATGCCCATTCTATTATTTCTTGAGGAAAGAGGGAGGCAACAGGCTGTGAAGTATCAAAAATGTCAAAATTCCTTGGACACACACGCGAAATAATGGCAATTTTTTCTTGACCGTTTTCTTGAGAGCTGCATACAGGGCTTAATTACTGAAATAGCCCGGAAAGCGTGTGGAACAAACCTAAAGTGATAAACTTTGGTTAAATATATAAATTTATCATTTTATCAAGTTTATCAAAAGTTAACTATGCTATGAATCCCGGAATGGGTATGAAAATGAGAGAAAACTGATAGAATATGTACATAGGTATGTCAGCATTTAACCCTTTAGTCATATATGAAACGCTTTTTAACCCTTTCAAGGCAGAGGCAAAATGGTTCTCAATATGTTTTCAACGTACTTTTTATTTATTTTTATTTTTTATTTATTTTTATTTTTAATATTTTTATTTTATTTTTTTTATTTATTTATTTTTTTTTTTATTATTTTACTATGGAAANCCTCTGCCTTGAAAGGGTTAAAAAGCGTTTCATATATGACAGACTCTGCATTAAAGGGTTAAATGCTGCATTCCATTATCTCTTTTCTAAGCGAAGATCTACGATTTTGAAAAAAAACTCGTGTTTTGTCTACTCGGTTATTCTCTGGGGAATTTATGCTTTATTTAAATTTAAAAAATTAAATTACTACACCATTTTAATTAATTAGTGTGTAGTCCAGTTTTGTTTTGTAGAAGTTTCGTTAGTATACACTTCAGTTTTTACACATTGAATATATCTGCATATTTATATATTTACGCGTATCTATTTACATTTATTTATGTACAAGTCTACAAAATCTTATTACTTATAAAGCGATTTTTAATCTTCGTTGCTTAACACACATTTTTTCAATTACTTCTTGTGTTGTAATCGGCACATCATTATGTACCGCTAACATCGTTAAACCATTCAGCCGCTCCTTAATTGTATAAAAAGAAGGGACAAATAAGATAGCATATTCAACAATTGAGTAGTCCACTTGCAAAGTGCGCTATGTAAATTTTTTTTAGATTTTTAGTTTTTGGTGGGTTTCATGTCCACTAACAGCAGAGTGAAAAATTTTTCTATATTCTGAAAAAAAATAGCATGAAATGTTAACTACTCTTGCAAAAGTCGCTATAATACTTATTTATACACTTTCAAATGTCTCCTCTTCGTATGAACTTAGAAAACTGCAAGAAAACGTGGTAGTTTCGGTGCCTAGTGGAAGAGGTCGCTAAAAAGAAGCAAACCAATCTTCCTAGAGGAGAGAACGCGAAAAGCTAAAAAAAGCTAGCTATGTAAAAGTTACTGTTTCAAAACTTGCAATATTAAATTTTTAAATATAAAATTTGCAAATCTACCATACTGCAATTTTATTTTTTTAATGGTATTAGGCTCTTATTTAACCAAATTTTCAGGTAATAAAAAAAGATGCAGTTCGGATGTTACTTGTTGTCGTAGACGTTTTTTTTTAATTTATGGTTTACTTTTATAAAATCACATAACGCTGTTTGCAAGTGGACTACTCATATATTCATTAAATGATAATTTGTCATCCGTCTGAAATAAAAAAATTTAAATCAGAAGGATAAAATAGTATTGTGTTCAAAAGTAAATAATTGTAGTTCAATGACGAAGGGGGGGATCTATCCCCCCATATCCCCCCCTGGCTTCGCCACTGCCTGGCAGCAATGCATTTTTGAAAACTATGAATAATATTACTAGTTTAAAGGCAAATAATTTTTTTCTTGTACTTTAAAGTCTTAAAAATGTATATGTATTTACAAGTTTGATTTGGTAACTCTTAGAAGGGAAATACAACCCGGAATTTCTTTGCACACGCAGCGGTTATAGGGCCTTTGCGCAATATCGGACTTGCGTCGGTAGTTTGTGTGGTGTGTGGGTTTTCATATTTCTATTCATATTTCTTCCACATATTTACTTGAGCAACGTTTCTCCAAAATTAGGTTTGCGTAATTTTATTGTGTAGTAATTTCCACAATATTGACTTGTACAAGTCTCGGGTTGCACAATGATTTTGTGTGGTTTAGTGGCCCTAAAAGTTTGTTTTTCGTTATGCAAATAAGCATACGGATTCTCTGTTTTTGTTTAAGCAATATTACATGTTTCTTATAACTATGGATTTAATTATAAAATTTTATTTATTATGTATTTGTTTTTCAAATAAAAGTCTGAAAAATAACAGTTGTGTTTGCTTTTGATACTTTTTTCAAGCTCGCGGCAACGCTGCGCCGGAGTTCTTCCGGATTGATCGCATTTTTGCAGGATGGTGACGATATGTACATACATATGTTTGTATGTACTTATGTATGCTGTAATAATAAATACTACATAAAATACCTACCATTGCGTATGCCATACAAAAAGCCTTGCCGCCAATCGTTACTGGAGTTGAATGACCGTAGCCGATCATAGCCAAAACCACAGTGGCAAAATAAAATGCACCAGCGAACTTCCACTGCGGTCCCGCTTTGTGTGGTTTGTTCTCGATAATCACTATTTCCATCATGCGGTAGTCTTCGGCGGTGACATTGTACTTTCTAACAAAATTATTCTTCACCGCTATATTTGCAAGCGTAAGTGTTCATGTATAGGTTGGGTTAAGCGAGTTTGTTGAGTATATGTACATATGTATTTCATGCGCAAATGTTTGTATCATTTTAAAATTTGCGATGTTGAATAAATGTTTTGTGTTTAGTTGTTTTGTTAGCGTTGGGCGAGTGTTTGCATGGTTATATTTTTTGTTTTGAAAATTGGTGTTTTTGTGATAGGATTTTGAATTTGAAAAATACAATTTTAATGAAAAATTTTGTGGAAATTACATAAATATGTATGCATAAACTTTCTACAAATAAGTATGTCCAAACAGAGTTTATTCACACTTTCCTGGTTATTGGGTTATTTGGTTTTTTGATTTTATCCTTTGAGTTTCAGACAATAAAATGCAGGGTGGGCCAAATAAGACCGACCAATGCTAAACACGTCTAACTTCTTTAGATTTTAATATTATTGTTATTTACTTTCTGCATGTTATAGTGAATGGCTTGGATAGTCATAATGGATACTTACAGCAAGACCACCAACAACGACTACAATACGCTATTCGTTTTTCACAATTAGCCACACAAATTGATTTTTTAGGTAATGTTTTGATTTCGGATAAAGCGCATTTGCAAGCAAAACTGTAAAATGTGGGGCTCTGAAAATCCAAGGACAACCCACCAGCACCAGTTAGGGCCGGTTGTTCAATGTCTGGTTATCACCACCACTACACTATCGACGATTTCGACATCATGCATATATCATGTGATCGATAAAGCAGTCGTTGTCTTAACCGGAGCTTCTACCTCCGATTAGTGTTAATCAGACATTGAACAACCGTCCCTTACACCCATCCATATGCACTGGTTAGTGCGGTGTTATGGCCGAAAACGCTATCGGCCCATATTTCTTCATGAGGATGATACGCCAGAGCCTATGTATTTCTGGGGCGTATTACAGAACAATGATTGACAACTTTTTGCGGCCAACGGCAGAGCAGCATCGTAATTTGTGGTTCCAAAGAAATGGAGCGACTGCGCATACTGCTAGGCAAACTATGGAGGTAGGTCTTATTTTGCCCACCCTGTACACTGAGAATAATTTTCTAGAATATATCAATCCTCTAACCTTATATCAATCCGTTAACCTTCCAAATTTGCTTTTTGCGGGATTTCTTGAAGTAAGGGTCAAAATGAGCCTTTTAGGCGCGAGCTAATGGGTTAAAATGGTCTTAAAAAATATTTCCCATGAAATTTTATTATATATGTCTTAAACTTCGATTTCGCTCAGACATTTATTTTAACTATTTTTTCGACTTTATTGAAAACTACTTAGGCCGAAACATGAAAACTTTAGTAGGCCATGAAATAAAAATACGAGCTAACTTTTGCAAATCCACCGGGAGTATTATTACTGGATGGGTATACTTTCAGAGAATGTTAACAAAGTCCGGGCTGGTTTCGGCTGTCCCACAGTGTAATTTGAGTTTAACTTTTTAGACAGGAGGCCACTCTCTTCAAGCACCTCAAAAATATTTTAATTGTTGCATAGCATTTTAATCACAACACTTTTTAACTATATTCGACTTTTCAAACAGGTGGCACCCCTCCTAAATGTAATTACCAGTACCCATCCCTAGTACTGCGCACACTTCGATTATTTTACGAAATTTCGAAAGAATTTCGGTAAAGCAATAATAATAATGCTGCTCTGTGATGAAATCTTTCAAAATTTTTTTTCTGCGGAAATTTCCTTCAAACAGATCGTTTCAGAATTCGGAACACATTTCCGATACTGTTAAAGATTTCATTAATATTTCGGAAACTTTAGTTTGCACGGTACAGTACATGCTCACCGAGTTACGACCGATTGTATTTTTAATAAAAATCTAGTTTTCATGTTTTTTTTACTTATGGCCGTTTAAAAAACTGCATTTGGGAAAGTAATGTTGCAAGCATAAAAAGGGGTTCGAACACAACTTGATGTGGCGGAGATTATGCGTATAGCTCTGAACCAAGGATGCATTGTAACGTTAATTTTAGCGTTTACCAAAAGTTTTTTATCGTTTAGGTAATTAGCAAAATAATTATTTTTTAACGAAAAGAAATTCAATCGTTAATGCTGAAGTTGTAACATGCATTTAGGTGCTCGGTGTTAGTAGTGAGCTGGCAATGGCATACAACAGTAGTGTCCAACCGGTAGCTCGCGGGCGCCTGGTAGCTCGCGACCTAAATTTTAGGCGCCCGCAAACAAGAAGATGAACAGAATATTTTGTATTGAATTGAAAAGTTTAAAAATTTGAAGCTTTTTTGGTACATAAGTAGGCTTTTATTTTTGAATTTTCACGAACTCATTCACTTCTTATCTTTCTATGCTAGACATGACAGAATCTCTGTTTCAGGATCTTCAAAGCAAAAACAGCGTAATCTCAGCAATAAAAAAGTGTAGTTATCTGATGACCTACCAAACGATATTCATTGCCAAATAAAAAGCGATTTCAAGAAATGTGACTAGGTTTCCTTACAAATGGATGAGTCGACCGATGTTTCAGACTCTCCGCACTTATGAGTGGTATTTTCTGATTTTTCCCTAAGGAGGCACTGTTAGTCAATCTGACTTTGGAAACTCGTACTCGTGGGCAAGATATATATATATATAACGTAGTGAAAAAGAAGGAAAATCTGATTGCAAAAACACTCAACCTTGACAATGTTATGAGCACGATCGTTCGTATTGTGAATTTGATACGCGGATGACCGTTAAAGCATCGGCAATTCAAAGCCTTGCTCGATGAATTTGAGAGTGAATTCGGTCACATATTCTACCACTCTGAAGTAAGATGGCTGAGTCAAGGTAAAGTGCTCTCAATATGTAACTTTTATGACAGAAATAAAGATTTTCCTGAAATCCAAAGGCAGCATTTTAACTGATGTGACTGCAAAACTAAATGATTTCAATACAACTTTGCAATCTCGAAATCGATGTATGGATAGAGCAGTTGACAAAGAAAAACTTTCAACATTTCCAGACGTTTGCCCTTCTGGAACAGGCTTTATCACAACTAATGGTTATAAAAACAAATACCGAAACGTACTGACTGACGAACATGTCAAAAATAACATGATTTTAGCCTGCACAACTGTGCAATATAAACCAGATTTTAAGAAGTTATCTGAAAATATGAAGATTCAAGCATCATATTAAGTTTATTGGGCATGTGCTGCGCGTCGTACGATTTGAAATCGGTGCGATTTGCAAACTATTTTTGATTATTTTTAGGGAAAGTAATAAATATTTCAAATGAAAACGGCGAGAAACACATAACTTACGTCATATCTATCGATTCAGTGCCAAATTTTGCCGTTTTGTTAATCAATCTCCGAAGAAGGTTTTGCAGATCGCATCGATCTCAAATCGTACGAATTGCAGCACATTCCCATATGTTTACAATAAAATGAATGTCCTTCATTAAAATATTATGCACTGTTATTAATTTAACAGCCCTATTCTAATAAAACCTCACAACTGAGTTGTGAGCAAAATTTTGTGAGATTTCATGTGAGGTCTATTTTGTGAGGTTATTCTTGCCCACACCTCATAAGAAAAAAGCTCAACCAAATCACCACACGAGGTGAAAAGCATTTTGCTGTCTAACAGCTGTTTCGTAAATAAAATAAATACAAAAGATGGATGCTGAACAACAGGAAAAGTAAATATTTTTTTGCAATTTATTTATTTTTTTGATAATTACTGACTTTATTTATTTCGTAGGCGAATTCAAAAAGGAATAAAGCAGGAGTAGCTCCAGTACTTCACACAGTTTGCAATCCACAACTTGGTGCAAAAGTTTGTATGGAAATTAAATCCTATGCCTGCTCTAACTCTTCCGAAACTGCCGAAAAAACATGCAATAACTCTGCCAATAACACAGACACTGATAGCGAACGAAAATTAACAAAACATTTGCTCAATAAAAATCGGCTGTTTTTCTCTTGTGAGGGTCTCATTCGTACATCATAAATTTGCGTATGAGCTTTCGTATTTACGCCAGCATAGGGATAACCTCACAATAGTCAGAAACCTCACAATAGTGAGTGTGGTGATTTTTGTGAGGGCAACAGAATAGGGCTGTAACTTAACTGTACAAACTTTAATAATAAATAAATATTTTAAAAGGATCAGTTAGTAGAATATATACATTGAATATAAGAAGAGTAAAACGAGTTAACGCAGTTAAGATTGAAGTTAAGCTAGCGGTGCCCGCGTATTATAGCGATAGTTTCAAAGTAGCCCTTTGTCCAAGTTCTGTTGGACACCATTGGCATACAACAACTTATCGTTGATTTATTTTGTTTCGATGTTAACGATTGATGATTTATTTCGTTTCAGTGTTATACTAGGTTCACATATAAAGAGATTATCCTCATTTTCGAGCTTAACACCCTAATCTGTAATTATAAAATAATCTCAGATTTAACCGATAACTTTTCGGTGTCCATCCTAGTTTTATCGATTGTTTTTGCGAAAGAGAGGAGAAATGCCAAATGTAAAAGTAAACAAAAATGTACGCTAGCAAGTAAAAGAGGTTTGTAAAGGTATTTTTAATAAAATGTTAAGTTAAAATATATTTATATTGCTTATTATAGCAGAAAAACGTGATCACGGTGGCACAGAGAAGAAACATAAATTTTCCTTGAGATGTGGGAATAACAAGCACAACAAATTTGACGGCTAATAATCTGAGATTTGCCTGTGTAAACGGGGTGATTAAAAAACTAGCTTTGATTGAGATAATATTGATATGTGAACATAGTTTTAGCGATTGAGTTTTGTTTCGTTAATTTAGCTCTGAAACGAAACGGAATTATTTTGATAAGTTATTTTTGCGCATCAACAAAACGAAATCGATTCATGTAGTTTGTTGACCATCTCGGCTTTGAACACATCGAAAACGACATCACTACTCGACACGACATTAAGGGCCAGTTGTTCAATGTCTGGTTATTAGTGTTGCCAGAGAA